GTTTGTAACAGCGAACCCAAAATGTAAAGTATTAAAAGATGATATAGTAACAGAAGTTAACAGTAATGCTCTGATTCAATTGTCATGTGTTCACAGTTTATCCTTGGAAGTCACAGTTAGCTTGTAGCTTGTATCTGGTTGAAACAGGTGGAGGTATTTTGTGGAACGTTGAGACTCTAAACTTTCAATTCGTATCACAGTCAGGAATGCAGACTCTGACCTGTCAATAGAGAATGGAAACGTAACTCATTAAGTCATTATTACACAATTAATTATGCAATTACATTTGAAAATATTTGTAAGGGTCAAACTTACTCAGCATAACACACTAATGATCCACTGATCTAGTACTGTATTTAAAAAATGTCTGTAAATTTTGCTGAACATAACGCAGATCACAGATGTTGTGGTCAGTAAGGGACGATCACAACAAAGCATAACGTATTTCCCATGTATTTAGCTTAAAGAGGGGAAAATCACAATCGTGTAGTAAAGAGAGGAGCTTTCTTTAAGATGACTACAAATCCCAAATCTAAATCGAAGCCGCTCTGTTTACTGTCTGATGTGATTTTGTTATGGGGAATCAAACTGTAAGATGTTCATGTTAAACACTTTTAGACGGTTCCTTAATAACTAAAGCCTCAGTGATTTACATTTCTGAAATCTTACATTGCGTTTATTTGATTTTTTGGCATTTTTTCCTCCCCAGATTAGCCAGATAATCCAGCCATGTTTCCCCCAGTGAGACAATACTAGCAATGCAATGCTTCCTCTGAGTTACAGGCCTGGCATCACAAGGGGGTATGAGGGGGTGATGCCCCCTCGGATGGAATACCATAGATACCGTTTATGCTTGTCCTGCAACTTAGCCTTGATTTTATTTATTTCTTCTGCTGGGGAGACTTTTTCAAACTGTACTCACATTAATTACAGTGCTTCTCTAGCTGAGCAAGACTTTCAGACACCTCAGTCAAAACTGCAGATGTGAGGTGAAGGTTAGGGTTAGGATTAGGTTTTGGGTTGAGGTTAAGGTTAGGATTAGGTTTTGGGTTGAGGTTAAGGTTAGGATTAGGTTTTGGGTTGAGGTTAAGGTTAGGGTTAGGATTAGGGTCAGGGTGAGGGTTAGGATTAGGGTAAGGTTGGTAAGGTTAGGTTTTGCGTAATAGAAGTAACATGTTAACAACACATCTACTTAATGTAAGTAATGTATCAACACAACATCTACAAGATATTTACTTCAGTGTATTCAGATGCTTCACTACAGCTACGTCACTGATATGTTGTTGATGTGTTACTGATACTCCAGATGAAGTGTAACAGCGTTTATTGATGGTTCAGCACTCTTGGTTGGTCATACCTGCATTCTCATTTGTAGCTGCAGAGGTCTGCTGCTTCAAAGACCTTCCCTGCGGTCACTGCTATTTGTAAACAACAGAAGAGGGAGATTGTGAGTGTATCTGGCTGTTCACCCCTGCCGATCAATGCTTTTTTGGGTAACTCACCTTTTTGCAGCAGTCATGAATCAGCCCTAAAATGAGGAGCAAGATGAAGAAGCCAAGACCTGCCGCCTGGAACAAAAGACAACATAGACATCATCAGAAATCAGTTTTAGAGCAAAAGCCACGACACTTTAATGCAACATTATGAGGAAAAGAAGAACTTTGGTGACACTTTATAAAAAACAGACCCTAATAAGCCACAACTTAATCTTTATCTAATAGTTTGTTAATGACTCTTAATATTTACAGTCAGGTGAAAATATTTAGGCGCTCTGATCAAATTCAATGTTGTTGATTTTCTAAGTGAAAAAAAGTTAACACATTCTCTACAGAGACACATCTGCACAAATTAATCCACATTGACTATTTATTTACTCCACTTAATACAGTAGAAAAAAAAAGATAAAACATGGCATGTATGTCACATATTTTATGTTTTTATTTCTTAATGTGAAATTTTGCAAATATATAAGAATCAGTGGACTTGAAATAGTAAGAAAATGTGTGCTGACTTGTTTACACCTACAAAACATGTAACCTGACCATGTTCAAATTTTTGCATGCAACTATATGATACTGTCTGTATCATATATACATTAATAAATGGTGTTATTATAATTACGTGCCATTTTCAAATATTTAACAGGAACAGAAGGAACCTATAAGTCATCAAAGAAACTCAAAAATGATACAATTTGAACACTAAGTATTTACTTAGTTACCCAAAAAAATTATTGCTTTAAATTATTTAACTAAGTATTTAATTGCCCAAAGTATCTTGCACACTTTGTGATGCAAAAATGAAGTACCAAGTAGTTAATATATGCTTTATAAACATTAATAATCTTTAGTTGGAGCCCTGAAACCAGTTCAACTGCTTGTTATTACATGAATTTTTTTGAAAAGAGTAAATACTTAGTTACAGAGTAGATTATGTATTAATACTTCGCTGTAGCATAATCTTAAACTGAATCTTAATCTCAAATTGTCAGCTTTGATGAAACGTAACTTACCCTTTTTGCGTAGAACTCGAGCTCCACCTCCACAAACGTCTCACAAATACTGTGATAAAACCATTCAGCAGTTCCTTCCTTCGGCTGATCTTTAAAACACTCCATGTATTTGCCATTGAAGAACATTACCACCCAAACAACAGGTGGAATTAAACAGGAGAAGAAGACCCCGTAGCAACGTGAACCAAAATCCCAGTCCTTGTTCTGCCTCAGGATTAAAATTCCGAAGAGTAACATGACAATCGCGGGTCCCAGTAAGTATACAAAGAAAAACGGAAAGGTAAAAGCCCCTTTACAGGGGCAATGAAAGTCAAACTCTCCAGTCTTTGCTATCCCTGCGCTGACGAATCCGAGCAGCAGCTGAGCACCTTTTTTGAGGGATTCTTTCATCTTTGCCAATTTCAAGGTGGGTCAGCTGTGTCACAATGCAATCAACACTGCATCTGAACTGAACCTCGCAGGGTGGAGATCAGCTTCATATTCAGATAGCTCCGCCTCCCATACCATGTTACAATAATCCCATCACCATGAAATAAACAGGAAGTTGGCAGTTTCACTCCCTGTGAAATGGCATTTATCTTACATGCTTGACTGATCTATTTATTACCACAGAAAACAGAACAGAACGTAACAGTGTGGAGAAACACATCAGATCATCAAGCATTGGAACCTTCACTGTACATTAGTGCTACATTGATCTTCTAGCTGGAATGATACACTGCAGTCAGTGTGGGAAACAGCCTGATAGAGGGTTGATAGAGGAAACCAAGGCCCAGACATGTTTCCTGTCAGCATTTAGAGAAAACCCAATCAGTAAATCTCTTGAACTTCCTTGCAGGAAACGAAACTGGTTGCTGTTTTCTATGGCAGGATGTGGAAACACTGTCCACTACATAGGAAAAACCTTGGAGACACACAGCAGGTGAGCAACTGGAACTGAAACTGCATTGCAAACATAAGAGAAATGAAGAGAAACTGCAATACATAATATTACAGAGCCAAGACAGATGGGCAGTGGACAAAACTCCTAACAATGGTCTCAAAACATGTTGAACTCGCTGTTGTATTTGGATTGTGTTGTGAAAAACAGAACAAGTGAAAAACAACATCTATAATTAGATTTTTTGAGGATTTACGTATCACTTTCATTTCTGAAAAACAAAGAACATGAAATTGCAATTTCTATCATAAACTGTTAATACATTTGGAAAAAAAGTTTACTTGGTTTCCTTCAGATCTCCTTCCAGATCTTGAAACACTTAAAAGCACCACATGTGAGAATAAACAGGTACTGGTTCTTTTGTCATTTAATTGCAAATTAAACCATCATACAATTTTTTCTCATTGAGCAAGCATAATAAAAATACATTATAAACATAAACTGAAATTGAGGAAATTTGCAGAAATAAAGCAATTCCCAATACAAAGGAACTTACCAAGCAAGTCTAAGGAGAATAATATGCAGAAAAAAACATCAACCTCAGTGAGATTTTCAAAATTAAACTAGAGACACACACCCCAACTCCAAAATAGTTAGGACACTGTGCAGAATGTAAATAAAAATAGAATGCAGTGATATGCAAATCATGTGAACCATATTTTTAAAGGGAAATACTACAAAGACAACATATCAAATGTTGAAACTGAGAAATTTTATTGTTTTTTGAAAAAATATATGCCGATTTTGAGTACTGGCTTTTGAACTGTGCACTGATAACAAGCTGAGTGGTCTTTAGCCTGGAGGACAGAGTGTCCATGATTTCCAAAAAAAGAATTTCAAATGTTGATTCATCAGCTCACAGGGCACTTTCCCACTTCCCCATAGTCCATTTTAAGAGAGCTCAGGCCCAGAGAAGGTGGTAGCGTTCCTGGATTCTGTTTATATTTGGTTTCTTCTTTGTGTTTTGGAGTTTTAACTTGCATTTATGGATGCAGCAACAAACTGTTTTCACAGAAATTGGTTTTCAGAAGTGTTTCTGAGCTCGTGGAGTGATTTCCACTACAGAATCATGTCTGTTTTCAGGGCCCAAAGATCACGACCAGCAAATACTGGTATTTCTCCATATTCTCTGAATCTTTTAATGTTATTATGTACCGTAGACGATGAAAAGGAAAAGTTCTTTGCTATTTTATGTTGAGAAAGTTATTCTTGAATTTTTGCACTATTTGATTGTGCAGTCTTTCACAGAGTGGTGAACCCCTCCTCCTCTTTACTTCTGAAAGACTCCGCCTCTCTGAGATGCTCTTTTATAACCAATCATGTTACTGACCTGTTGCCAATCAACCACCAGGTGTTTTTTAAACATTACACACCTTTACCAGAGTTTGTTTCCCCTGTCCCAACTTTTTTGGAACATGTTGTTGTTGTTGTTGGCATCAAATTCAAAAAACAATAACATTTCTCAGTGTCAACTTTTGATTTGTTGTCTTTGTATTATTTCCAATGTAATATGGGGTTTAAATAATTTGCACGTCATTGCATTTTGTTTTTATTTATATTTTGCACAGCATCCCAACTTTTTTGGAAATGGGGTTGTAAAAGGTCATGCAAAATTATTTAAAAGAACAACTGTAAAATGATCTGTCTGTAACAGCGAACCCAAAATGTAAAGTATTAAAAGATGATATAGTAACAGAAGTTAACAGTAATGCTCTGATTCAATTGTCATGTGTTCACAGTTTATCCTTGGAAGTCACAGTTAGCTTGTAGCTTGTATCTGGTTGAAACAGGTGGAGGTATTTTGTGGAACGTTGAGACTCTAAACTTTCAATCCGTATCACAGTCAGGAATGCAGACTCTGACCTGTCAATAGAGAATGGAAACTGAATGGAAACGTAACTCATTAAGTCATTATTACACAATTAATTATGCAATTACATTTGAAAATATTTGTAAGGGTCAAACTTACTCAGCATAACACACTAATGATCCACTGATCTAGTACTGTATTTAAAAAATGTCTGTAAATTTTGCTGAACATAACGCAGATCACAGATGTTGTGGTCAGTAAGGGACGATCACAACAGAGCATAACGTATTTCCCATGTATTTAGCTTAAAGAGGGGAAAATCACAATCGTGTAGTAAAGAGAGGAGCTTTCTTTAAGATGACTACAAATCCCAAATCCAAATCGAAGCCGCTCTGTTTACTGTCTGATGTGATTTTGTTATGGGGAATCAAACTGTAAGATGTTCATGTTAAACACTTTTAGACGGTTCCTTAATAACTAAAGCCTCAGTGATTTACATTTCTGAAATCTTACAGTGCGTTTATTTGATTTTTTGGCATTTTTTCCTCCCCAGATTAGCCAGATAATCCAGCCATGTTTCCCCCAGTGAGACAATACTAGCAATGCAATGCTTCCTTCTGAGTTACAGGCCTGGCACCACAAGGGGGTATGAGGGGGTGACCTCAGCCAAAACTGCCGATGTGAGGTTAAGGTTAGGGTTAGGATAAGGGTTGAGGTTAAGGTTAGGGTTAGGATTAGGGTCAGGGTGAGGGTTAGGTTTTGGGTAAGGTTGGTAAGGTTAGGTTTTGCGTAATAGAAGTAACATGTTAACAACACATCTACTTAATGTAAGTAATGTATCAACACAACATCTACAAGATATTTACTTCAGTGTATTCAGACACTTCACTACAGCTACGTCACTGATATGTTGTGGATGTGTTACTGATACTCCAGATGAAGTGTAACAGCGTTTATTGATGGTTCAGCACTCTTGGTTGATCATACCTGCATTCTCAGTCGTAGCTGCAGAGGTCTGCTGCTTCAAAGACCTTCCCTGCGGTCACTGCTATTTGTAAACAACAGAAGAGGGAGATTGTGAGTGTATCTGGCTGTTCACCCCTGCCGATCAATGCTTTTTTGGGTAACTCACCTTTTTGCAGCAGTCATAAATCAGCCCTAAAATGAGGAACAAGATGATGACGCAAATACTGCCCGCCTGGAACAAAAGACAACATAGACGTCATCAGAAATCAGTTTTAGAGCAAAAGCCACGACACTTTAATGCAACATTATGAGGAAAAGAAGAACTTTGGTGACACTTTATGAAAAACAGACCCTAATAAGCCACAACTTAATCTTTATCTAATAGTTTGTTAATGACTCTTAATAGTTACAGTCAGGTGAAAATATTTAGGCGCTCTGATCAAATTCAATGTTGTTGATTTTCTAAGTGAAAATAGGTTAAGAAATCCTCCACAGAGACACATCTGCACAAATTAATCCACAATGACTGTTTATTTACTCCACTTAACACATTAGGAAAAAATAAAGGATAAACTGTGGTGTGTATGTCACACATTTTATGTTTTTATTTTTTAATGTGAAATTTTGCAAATATGTTATGCAAATATATAAGAATCAGTGGACTTGAATTAGTAAGAAAATGTGTGCTGACTTGTTTACACCTACAAAACATGTAACTGTGACCTGACCATGTTCAAATTTTTGCATTCAACTATATGATACTGTCTGTATCATATATACATTAATAAATGGTGTTATTTTAATTATGTGCCATTTTCAAATATTTAATAGAAACAGTAGGAACCTATAAGTCATCAAAGAAACTCAAAAATGATACAATTTGAACACTAAGTATTTACTTAGTTACCCAAAAAAATCATAATTGCTTTAAATTATTATTAAGTTATTATTAAGTATTTAATTGCCCAAAGTATCTTGCACACTTTGTGATGCAAAAATGAAGTACTAAGTAGTTTATATATGCTTTATAAACGTGAATAATCTTTAGTTGGAGCCCTACTATAAAGCTGTGACATAACTTCTTTGGAAAGATCTACTGTAATATGTATAAACAGCATTTACAGTTTAACATTAACAATTACAGAATTATTAATTATAAACTATGACATAATGAATAAGTTGTTAGGCCTGTTCAATAAATTGTTATGGATTTTTGTCGTTTACATGATTAAATGATGAATTGTGATTACAATCTATGAAACCAACAAAAAGTAAAATCAATCAATGAATTTAATAACTAATTTCTAATGACTTAATTAGGTTAATAATTCATTAGAATAAGAGAAAGAAAAGTTTGGATTTATGTAAATTATCAATCCAAACCACATAATTAAGGGTTTTTTTTTTATCTAAACTGTTTTTCTTTGAAAAATCAATTTAATTGCATTGCATAAAACCAGTTTGTTATTACCTGATTTTTTTTTATTTAAAAGACTAAACACTTTGTTACAGAGTAGATTATGTATTAATACTTCACTGTAGCATAATCTTAATTTTAATCTTAATCACAAGTAGTCAGCTTTGATGAAACGTAACTTACCCTTTTTGCGTAGAAATCAAGCTGCACCTCACACAGAGTCTGTCCTTCCTTCTGCCGATCTTTAAAACACTCCATGTATTTGCCATTGAAGAACATGATCATCCAAACAACAGGTGGAGCTAAACAGGAGAAGATGACCCCATAGCAAAATGAACCAACGTTCCAGTCCTTGTTCTGCCTCAGGATGTAAATTCCGAAGATTAACATGGCAATCGCGGGTCCCAGTAAGTATACAAAGTAAAACGGAAATTTAACTGTCCCTTCACAGGGGCAATGAAAGTCAAACTCTCCACCCTTTGCTATCCCTGCGCTGACGAATCCGAGCAGCAGCTGAGCACCTTTTTTGAGGGATTCTTTCATCTTTGCCAATTTCAAGGTGGGTCAGCTGTGTCACAATGCAATCAACACTGCATCTGAACTGAACCTCGCAGGGTGGAGATCAGCTTCATATTCAGATAGCTCCGCCTCCCGTACCATGTTACAATAATCCCATCACCATGAAATACAAAGGATGTCACCAGTTTCACCCCCTGTGAAATGGCATTTATCTTACATGCTTGACTGATCTATTTATTACCACAGAAAACAGATCAGAACGCAACAGTGTGGAGAAACACATCAGATCATCAAGCATTGGAACCTTCACTGTATATTAGTGCTACACTGATGTTCTATCTGGAATGATACACTGCAGCCAGTGTGGGAAACAGCCTGATAGAGGGTAGATAGAGGAAACCAAGGCCCAGACATGCTCGCTGTCAGCAATTAGAGAAAACCCAATCAGTAAATCTCTTGACCTTCCTCGCAGGAAACGAAACTGGTTGCTGTTTTCTATGGCAGGATGTGGAAACACTGTCCACTACATGGGCAAAACCTTGAAGACACACTGTAGGTGAGCAACTGAAACTGAAACTGCATTGCAAACATAAGAGAAATGAAGAGAAACTGCAATACATAATATTACAGAGCCAAGAAATATGGGCAGTGGACAAAACGCAAACTCCTAACAGTGGACTCAAAACATGTTGAACTCGCTGTTGTATCTGTTATGAAAACATACTTAAAGTGATAACCCTGAAAAAACGTATTTAACACAAGCGGTAAATGAG